GAAGTGGAATCAGGTGCCAAGGAGGAATAAACATCTCCTGTTGTCTGGTGACAACCGCCCTGGATGATGGATGGATCCTATGTATTGATCAGGATGAACGGAAAATTCTGTAGTCAAATTCAGTATTAAAAAAAAGTCCTGAAATGAAATACATGTATGTCCGTCAAAATCATACAACATAATGCATTGATAGGTTGTATGTGCTTATAGATAGGACATTAAAAGACAGCAGAATTTACGAAATGTCGCAAATGTTAAAATTCCAATTACATCAGTTTATTTGTCAGTAGTCTGTTTCGGATTTATTAAAGAAAAAAAAGTACATTAGGAGATCGTTGATTAGTTGGGAGTAAAAACACCACAATAGGCAAGTGATTGTTGAATATAAAAGATAAAAACGGAAGAGAAGGGGGCGGAAAGCAGCTAGACGATGACAAAAAAAGTGTTCTTTGTACATATGTAATACAATTCAATTTAACTTGGTTGATTAATATTGTCTATCATGACTAAAACATCCAAATATGAAACCGGCAGATGTTTATGAAATTAAATATGGTACGCTCTAAAAAATTTTGCATAATAAATATCATAGACGTAAATCGATTTACGTCTATGATATATATATTACATGCTATATATAATAACAGTAGGTTATGTTGTATATTACAATGCGTACCAGAAAATTAACACTGATTAAGGTCATCCAATATGAAGATATGAAATATATATGTATCAGTAAAAAAAAAAGGATGGGCAACGATTACAAGTGTCCGAGTGTTGCAAAATTAAAATAAATGGTAATGACACATTATATACACCTCCTACTGGACTTTTACGAGAAGCACTGACTTTGACAGTTCATTTAAACCTGTATCGTGTACGGAGGTACAGAATTGATAATGGATAAGAAAATCTATCTAGTGGTCATAGTTATGGTGTTAGGGGCACTAACATTTGAAGCCTTGGAATTGAGGATAGAATGGTATCCTTTTATTCAATGACAACTTGTATATGCTTTGAAATAGCCCATTATTTTCTTTAATTTAAATGTTGAGCTTAATATTTATATCATTAAAGAGCTTCCGTACAATGTTCTGCAGAGGTGCTTGAGGACAGGACCCCCCCCCCCCCCCCCATTATAGACCCCGGGCCTTTTCGATTTTTTTTCTTAAACTATCCTTAAGTAACATATTTGTGATGTAATCCATACCATCAAACCGAAAAATTACGAAAAACAAACAGTTTATAAAAATTCGTATCCCACTATATATAAAAAGTTATTTTTATATATAGTGGGATACGAATTTTTATACACTGTTTGTTTTTCGTAATTTTTCGGTTTGATGGTATGGATTACATCACAAATATGTTACTTAAAGGATTTCTGACATGATTTTCTTAATCTTTTGTTTCCCTGTCAAAAATGCCAATCGATATCATAATAACATAAATAAACATGTGTTTCTATCGAGTCTTGTGTATATCCCGCGGTGTGATGCTGATAAGCCGGGAGGTCAGAATATGCATATTTCTTATCTGATAACGAGGCTCTACGTCATAGATACTCTTGAGTTCCCCACAGTTCTTTGTTTACTATTAGCGAAAGCACATGTACATGATGTAAAATGGTCTATTGCGCTGCATTTGGATGTAATAATAAGGCAGAAAAGGGCAAAGGGATAAGTTTTTTCACTTTTCCTAAAGATGTTAATCTCAGAAAGCAGTGGGCTCATTATTGTCGGCGAAAGGACTTTACTCCCACTTCAGGACACAGATTATGCTCTGATCACTTTTCGCCCAAGTGTTTCCAACAAGACCCCAAGCTTCTCGGTGAAATGGGACTTCAGGAAACATTTAGGAAACGTTTGAGAATAAATGCAGTCCCAGATGTGCCACTTTTGACCGAAGAAGAGCTGTGTAGCGAACAGACAACAGCAAAGGTCCGTGGAGCGTATGCAAAGCGACAGAAAGCAGAGGTACTTACTTGTTTGTTTATATTCATAGGCCTATTTATTATACTGTCACTGAGTGCAAATGTAGTAATTTACAATTTTGACATTTTTCAAATAGAAAATTTATTAAAAATTGAACTGATATATCATTTTCTTTATCCAATATTTTGTTTGCTTTACTGTCATTGGAATTTCCTCCAATTTTATTTACACTGGATACATGAAAATCATTTATAAAATAGATGACATATTAAATTTTTAAGCTGATTTTTAAAAATAAATATATGTACTTTTTTTTAATCTTGAATTTTATTACTGATATAAAATTGGATAAAAAAAACTTCTTTTTTTTTTAAAGACCAAATTTTGCATATCTCTGCTAAGCAACAGTACTTTTATATTAATTATAGATTATTAAGGAAGCACTGAAAAAGAGTAAAGACACAGAAAAACCAAAGGATACTGCAAGTGCTGTTACAGCACTTGCAATGCCTCCAAAAGTGTTGAAACAAAAAACAAAAAAGTACAGGCTGAACTTCGCCCTCCGCAACGCACAAGATCTCATCAAACTGACGAGCGTATTTTAGCGACAAAGCACAAGCTACGTTCATTTGCAACACAGACATACTCCAAAATAACTATGGTCCCCTCTATCTCATCCCTATCTCTTTCTCAAGAGCCTGCAAACTTCAGTGAGGTTGATGATTATAGCGATGAATCGGACAGTGAAGATAAGGAAGAATCAGATGATTTGTATATTCCAACAGACGGATCTGACCTTGAGGCTGATGACGATGAGGATGGTGAAGGGGAAGTACAGGCAACCACAGTCAAGTTGCGACAAGATGTCTCTCCGGTGGAGGAGAAACAGTTTTTGGTCAGTGAAACTGCACTTGCAGAATTATTGTCTGTTTGTAGGTATTGCAGTGCAGAATGTACCCCAATCATCAAATTTGTTAGGGGTACCTTTATCTACACTTCATCAAAGTGCTTAAACAACCATGAATTTACCTGGAGCAGCCAGCCTTGTCACAACACTTTACCATGGTCAAACCTTTTTACTGCCACTGCCATTCTAACAAGTGGCTGCAATGCTACAAAGGTATTACAACTGTTTAATAATATGAACCTGCAGATGTTCACACCTAGAACCTACAACAGACTTCAATCATACTATGTTGTACCTTCTGCAACAAGAACCTGGGATTTTGAGCAGTCAGAACTACTTCAGGCAATTAGACACGGACCTAGCCAGGATGTTGTTGTAGGAGGAGATGCACGGTGTGACTCCCCAGGATATTCTGCCAAATATGGTACCTATACCATCATGGACCTTGAGAGAAACAAAATTCTTGATTTTCAGCTTGTGCAGGTAAAATTTAATATACATATCTAGTTAACTTGCAGACTTTTGACTTATTTATTTTAAATTGATAACAAGAGGCCCATGGGCCTTATAGGTCACCTGAGCATTATGCAACAACTTTCCAGTGATTGAATTTGATTCATGTTTTAATCCAGATGCTATGGCATTCACAATTTTGAAATAGGCACCATTGATCATCATAACAATACACTTAGCAGTTGCTTAGTTTGTTTACTTAATACCCATAGGCAGGGTAGGGGAACAAAAAATGCATTTCAAGTAATCAGTAATATTCAGCATGATCAGTAATGCCCCAATCATACATGAACCCCTGACCCTTAGGCCTAGATCCACACATTGCACAATTTTTGAAAAGGTATCCTTGCTTTTCAAAAATATTTGATAAATACCAAGGAGCAGATTTCAAACAATTCATCCAGTTTTAGTATATAAGTACAGCCCCCCCTCCTTTATGGTACCCCTGACCCTTGGACCTTGAAATTCACAATTCTGGAAGATTAGGACCCTTACTCATCATAACTACATAGGTAGTTCATCTGCTTAATACCAAGGAGCAGAGAAGAAAACTTTCAAAGATTTAGTGTATTTTCATTGTATAATCAATAAAGCCCCACCCTATCACTAGAATTCCTGACCCTGGGGCCATAAAATTCACAATTTTGGAAGAGGCACTCTTGCTCATCATAACTATGCACTTATTTAGTTTATTTAATACCCAGAAGCAGAGAAGAAGATTTTCAAAGAATTCATGTATTTTCACTATATAATTTAAAGAGCCCCCCCCCCCCCCTACACCAGAACCTCTGACCCTGGGGCCATCGAATTCACAATTTTGGTAGAAGCACTCTTGCTCATCATAACAAAGCACTTAGTTAGTTAATTCAATACCCAGGAGCAGAGAAGAAGATTTTCAAAGAATTCAAGTATTTTCACTATATAATCTATAGAGCCCCCCCCCCCCCCCCCTTACACCAGAACCCCTGATCCTGGGGCCATAAAATTAACAATTTTGGTAGAGACTCTCTTGCTCATCATAACTATGCACTTATTTAGTTTATTTAATACCCAGGAGCAGAGAATAAGATTTTCAAAGAATTCATGTATTTTCACTATATAATCTATAGAGCCCCCCCCCACCTTACACCAGAACCCCTGACCCTGGGGCCATAGAATTCACAATTTTGGTAGAGACACTCTTGCTCATCATAACTATGCACTTATTTAGTTTATTTATTACCCAGGAGCAGAGAAGAAGATTTTCAAAGAATTCAAGTATTTTCACTATGTAATCTATAGAGCCCCCCCCCCCCTTACACCAGAACCCCTGACCCTGGGGCCATAAAATTCACAATTTTGGTAGAGGCTTTCTTGCTCATCATAATTATGCACTTAGTTAGTTTATTTAATACCCAGGAGCAGAGAAGAAGATTTTCAAAGAATTTATGTATTTTCACTATATAATCTATAGAGCCCCACCGTAACACCAGAACCCCTGACCCTGGGGCCATAAAATTCACAATTTTGGTAGAGGCACTCTTGCTCATCATAACTATGCACTTAGTTAGTTTATTTAATACCCAGGAGCAGAGAAGAAGATTTTCAAAGAATTCATGAAATTTCACTATATACTTATTTAGCCCCACCCTAACACCAGAACCCCTGACCCCAGGGCCATGAATTTCACAATTTTGGTAGAGGACTCAATGCTGATTACAATCATGCAAACAGTTTGACAGCTTGATGTCCAGGAGTAAAGAAGAAGATTTTTAAAGATTGCACTAATTTTAGTGGTTTTTGCCCCACCCCCAGGCCCCAGGGGGGCAGGGCCCATGAAATTCACAATTTTTGTTCCCCTTCACCCATAGATGCTATATGCCAAATTTGGTTAAAATTGGTTCAGTGGTTTCAGAGAAGAAGCTGAAAATGTTCAAATGTTAACGCACGACGCACGACGAACGACGACGGACGAAAAGTGATAGCAATAGGTCACCTGAGTTTACTCAGGTGACCTAAAAAGTATATTGTCACAACCCTTAACATTTATGTTTTATATTTTTTCCAGAGTAATGAAGTAAAGGGGTCTTCCCATATGGAGCTTGCTGGATTAAAAAGAGCCATGGGATTTCTGAAAGATCATGTCAACATAACAACCCTTGTGACAGACAGGCATTCTATGGTTAAGAAGCATATGAGAATTTTCCATGCAGACAAAAACCATTATTTTGATGTATGGCACATTGCAAAAGGTAATTTACTGAAATTTAATTTTTTTTTATTGGAAACTGCTTTACATTGTTCGAAAGTTTATCTCATAACTCATTTTCCTTCATTTTATATAATGTAGGTGTTTCCAAAAAACTTGAAGCAGCATCAAAAAAGGTCAACGGACATCAAATCCGACCATGGATTAAGTCAATTGCCAACCACTGTCATTGGACAGCTTCATCTTGTGATGATGATGGGGAACTCAAGCAAGCTAAGTGGAAATCAATTGTGAACCACATAGCCAACCAACACGAGAATCACTCCCAACAATATCCTAGATGTGAGCATGCCCCCATTGAAGATGGCAGACAGTGGATCAAAGAAGGTAACATTAATAATTTGTTCTATTGTAAATAATTTTCTCATTTTTTATATACCGATAAATATTTTGAACTAATAGAACATTGATAAATTGTAACTTCTTGTCCGATTGCAGGTTCTGTTCCACACAAGTTAATGAAGGATATAATCCTCAGCCCCTTCCTTTTAAAGGACATTGCCAAACTTTCGCCAACTCACCAAACATACAGCCTCAAGATGTTTCACTCAGTTGTGAACCACTATGCACCAAAGAGCACCCATTTTTACTACCCAGCTATGCTTGCAAGGTATGTATGCTAACACTTATTACTTGTGAAATACGTACTGAATCCTACAGGATCTAATTTGCATTTGATGCTTTTATGTATCATAAGTTTATAAATTTTTAATTTAAGATTGAGTGTTGCTGCCTTGCATTTCAATGAAAACAGCAGTAGACAACAGGCAATGACAAAGGCTGGTGAGCTGCAATATGCAGTTTCTTATCCAAAGGCAAAGAAAGGACTGGAGGCAGTTGTAAAACCTAAGAAAATTCCTCCAACATTTAGTGAGTAAAAAAGTATTTGACTTGTCAATGAACACAGTACTTGTAAATACACATTGTATTATTTTGTGAAGTTTCTTTTCAATTACAATTTAATTTTTTTTTCAGATTATGTGACCTTGATTAAGCAGGCTGTCCATGAACGGAGAAGTGTGGAATGTCCTTCATACAGATGGGCTGCTGATGATATTGCCGTGCTAAATCAAGATGTACCACTGCCGCTTACTCAAAACTTTGAGCATTTTGAAAAGGCTGCCTTGATACGCAGACACGCTTCAAGGTTTATTCGAACGTGACATTTCAAGTGCATTGGACTATTATTAAAAAGTAAAGACAGTTGAAATAATCCATTTGTATATTTTACAAAAATTATGATAATTTGTTCCGTAAAATGTACATTCATCATACATATAATTATCTTGCATTTTAATATTGACATTATACATGTAATTTATCAAGATGTATTATTTTTTACAATGAATAGAAATTTCACATTGCATATTTGAACCCGCAATAATGTTCTGAGGGAAATGCTTCTCGTATCTTTGTCACTACACATGCAGGCAAAATTTTTCTGTGTTTTTTCCCAAGGAAATGCCAGATCCATCTCACAAATCTTCTGTATGCAAGATACCTGTAGATTCTGAAGTTAAAAAAAATCACAATGTACAAGAAATACTTGTTGATTACAGAAAGAGTAATTAAATGGAAATAAACTGATATTTCATTGTCATAATTATTTTGTGTTTAATGAAGTTAAAAGAAATAAACTTACTCATGAGGAGGTTGGTTATCATCTAAAGGTCCAACATTCTGCAGGTATTCATACATGGAAACGTACAAAAGTGAAAACATGTCTATTCAGCAATTGGCAGTAAATATAGGACTCTCTGTTATACATTGGTGGTCCCCTGTCTCTGTTTCAGCTTGGACTGCTCCTATTTCTTTACAGCAAATGCACTCATCTACTGTTGGCATAGAGATGCAAAATCCACACTCGCACCTATTTTACACAAAAAATAATGTACTTTTCTCAGTGTATTGATCTTCTATCAATAATTTTGCAGAATTAATTAAATTACACTTATCACTTTAAACAAAGTAATTTTGTATTTATGCAATGAAAAATGCCGATAAATATAAAGGACAGAGATCAATCTAAAAAAAATGATAAACAATTAAAATATCTGAAAAATGATCAATTTGATGAAAAAAAAATAAATGAATTGTGAAATTAATTCTAAGATTTAATATTTTTTAAAACAAATAAATAAATATTTTAAAAACTTACCAATCAGTGTTTACCAATCTATTGGGAAATTCTTCAATATATGAGTTCTCCTCTTCTGAACCAGTGCTTTGCCTGCTGTCATTTGTATCAGCCAAAGGTTCAAATTGATAAGGTTTTACATCAATTGACTGGGAAAAATCTACACTTGGAATATCTCCTTCCAAGGTCTCCATAACTTTCTATATATTTATATTGTTTTTTGTGTGTAAGGAAGGCATATAAACACTGAATAATTGTAACGCATGATAACAGAGGAGAACATGTGGAGAGAACTTGTGACGTCACACCCTGTAGCTCATTATCTCTGACTGCTGAAAGCAGCAGGCAGCTTTTACTGCCGTCTTATCAGTGTGTGTGGTGAGAGTGGTCAGTAAAGCATTGATTACACACATCTACTGGGATTATTAGACTTATATTTAGCACTTAAAAATATACATAAATATTGTGTCAGAAATCCTTTAAGGATAGTTTAAGAAAAAAAAATCGAAAAGGCCCGGGGGTCTATAATGGGGGGGGGGGGGTCCTGTCCTCAAGCACCTGTGATGTTCTGGTGTAAAAGTAATTCGTCAACTGTGAAAGTCAGCTCTTCTCGTAAAAGTCCACTACATAATGTTTCCGACTTCGTTCAAGAACGAGCTAACCAGTAAAACAAGATGGCGGCGCCCATGAAGAAAACTGTCGAACTTTTCTATGATGTTGTTTCGCCATATACATGGATTGGTTTTGAAGTTTGTATAGTTTTTATTTGAGAAATTATATTTACTTACCATTTTGTAGATAAATTTTCTACTGTCATTGGTTTATGGTGCCTTTTATTCTCAATGATCATGGTGAACTCAAGGACTCTTTGGAAACGCTGAACTTTGGACTTAGAGTTAGATTTTGACATCGTTCTAGTTTAAATGGATGTACAGAGACATTATTTTGTCTTTGTAATTGAGTTTATTTGTCATGTTTGTAAAAAAAAAATGATTGCAAAAATGTGCACAGTAAATCTAGGTGCAGAACTGGAGCTCTGTACTTGAGAAATTTCGGATAGACATTTTAAACTCCGAATTTTATTAAGCAGAGAACTACAGTTCTTCAACTACAAGTATCGTGAATCGTCTGTGGAAGGAAATTTTGAAGACTCTCTGTGCATGACAGCAATAGTCTCAAAGAATGTGGGTCGGTTCAGGACGGTTTCCTAAACCTAGACAGTTACATGAAACAATGTTGTCCAATCACCCCCTCCAAAATGCTACTCTCCTCATGAACCCTTGGCATACAGTCTTAATTAAAATTGGGAGTTTTTTCTCAAGTTCTGATTGGATTCGATCGTTCAACCAATCAGCAATTTTTTTTTAAACATGATGATATCTGTGTTCGGGGTATATCTTGACTCTTCTATCTCGGGAATTATAAACACAAGTAAATAATGATCCGCAAGATAACATGCCATTCTATGAATAGCAATGGTGCCACCCAATTTCTGCAAAATTTGTGATAAAGAATCTATATTGAAGCTGTAGAACTGTACTTTAAATGACAAATAGACATAACTTAGTTAATACTTTCTTTTTAAGTATTCTTTAAAAATTTTGATATCATATATTTATTTTAAAGACTCTTCTTTATTTTTGTCAATGATTCAATCTGTGGATGCTTGGTAGATTCGAGATCTTGTGACGAAAAAGTCCTTCTTTTGACTGCACCATATGCCAAGGGTTTTTGACACGCTACTCTCCTCATCAACATCATAATAGCATATCAGAAACCCTTGGCTAGGGAAGATGACTGAGTATCTAATTTTTTTTTCATGGTTGGTTATTTCTTGTGTGAGATTTATGATGAAAGTACAATATACTTGTATAAGGATTAAACATTATCATAATTACTAGTAGAAGGGTCTTAAAATTTGCACTTTTTTCTGTTCAAAATCTTTTTTTTAGGAATGTTATATTTATAGTTTAATTAAAATACCTTAGTCTAGAAAGTAAAAAAAAACATTTAATGCTTACTCGGCTATATTAAGGAAGGTCAGAGTTCACATTCCTTGTACATCGTATTTGAAGTTTAATTGTGACGTCATTGAAATTCAACAAGCTACAAAAATTAATTAACAACATGATCATGCGTAAATAAAAACTTGAATTTATTTATTTTTTCGATTATTCATAAAATCTTGTAAAATTGGAATACTTGATAGCGATACAGTCGAGAAATAGAAGAAAGCCTTTTGTCAAATATGACGTCATCAGCCTTGACATGACGCAACACAAGTGATCCAGAGGAGTAGATTCACTTGTTTAATAATTACAAGAATGCTTAAATAAATATGATACCATTGCTAATTTTTAGACCTAATCATTAAAACTAAACAAAAATAATTTATTAAATACAATGTGTATAGAATTTGAATTTATCTAGTAGCATTGAAGCTGCACAGGGATAAGGAATATAGAGAATATCGCTAAAACGATGAGCGTATTCGTGATTTACATCAAAAGTGCAAGGGCACAGACTATTTTGTTTGAGCTGAAATTTGGAATATTTATTGCTCATATAGTATATATTTTGAAAAGTGCTGGGAGCTGATCTTGGTCTGCATATCATTAATTTTATTTATAACAGAATTTAAGCGAAGTGGAAATTTTTAGCTATTTTAAGCATTTTCGGCAAAATTTTAAGTACTTCGCAAACAGCATTGACTAGCTCCCAGCACTTTTTGGGTAGATGATATAAACCTCTTTTAATGTGTATCAATTTTTTTTCTTGAAAAACAAGCGTATGCCCTTGCACTATCTCCATTTCCTATATTCAGCTTAACAATTCTATTTTTATACAAGTCACGTGACAAACAGCTGATACCTGCGATATAACTGGTAATAACTACGGCCAAGTCCTATCCATTATTGATAGCTATATTACATTTTCTACAAGTATTCAGTTGCTTTGTTAAATTTTAAAAAGAAGCAATACATATTAAAATGGTGCAAAGGTTACATTTTCCATATTGGTCCTTAACATAGCTGAGTAGATCCCCAGGTGTTTGCTATAATTGAATATCACTGCAGAGTATTATTAATAATGAGCATTTAACATAAAATTTCTTTATTTTAGGTTTTGTGTCGATACAGAACAAAATGGCCAAATATGGATCTGCAGCTGAAACCCTTCTTTCTGGGAGGAGTCATGAAAGAATCAGGTTGATAATTCTTAAAATAGATAGCATCAACATTTGTTACAAATTAAAATACTTATAATGAATCTTACTTGTTGAGTATTGGAGCCATTCTTGTCAGAAATTCATGAAAGTTTAATACCGGAAAATAAACTGTTGGATGTTTTTTAATATGTTACATATGTATCAATTGGAGTTTTTATCCATTCAAGGAAGCTCTAAACACTATGAAAAAGTGCTTTTTGTATTTGGAGAAAAATCATAATAGATTATGAATATAAATGCTTTTTTGTTTTCTTTACCAGGAAACAAACCCCCTGCCATGGTACCAAATAAAGGTTCCTACATGATAAAAGACATTCAGAGACTGGGAAAATATTATGGAATTCCACTGAAACAACCCAAGGTTTGTTTCTAATTATCAAAGATCTCCCTTATTTGTGATATGAAGACAGAAATACAGAAACTTATTTTTAAAGGGATATGCCTTCAGTTTCTTTATTCTTGTATTTAAAATTGTATTTCTCCTAAATATTCATAGAGGAATCATGGTTTTATTTTTTAGTAAAACCAAAATAATTTAAATTGGAAACAAATACCCTGGTAAACTTATTGCATGTTCAGAAGTAAAAATTTTCATAAATATTTTCTTACATGCCTAACTATGCATTTCCCACAAAATTTACTTTACATGTACATGTAGATGAATAGAATGTTATTTTCTTGGAAGAAATCTTCCTGCAAGTGTTCTTTAAAGTGTCATGATTTTTGCAGGATTTTGCCAGTGTAATGTTTGGTACACTTCCAGTACAAAGATTCCTGACGGCGGTGGACATGACCAATCCAGAATACACCGAGGAACTCTCCAGACAGTTCTGGTTCCGAATTTGGAAAAATGTACAGTATTCCGGGCTCCTTGAGATACACATGTATCATTGAATTTATAAAATATTTTGTAAAATAGAAGTTGCATAATTTGTCTATATCGAATTTTCAGTGTGCACTTGGCATGCAGTATTTTCCCTAGGTACCAACAACTGGCAAAATTGACAGCTTCAATTGACAAAAATGCCATTTTTAAACAAAAAATTGTTATCAGGTCCACAGATATTTTGCTCATTAACCTCAGCCCCTAGCCTGTTACAACTGATCTCTAACCTTTTATGTTGAAACAAAGGGAAAACACAGGGCATGTCAAGTCAGGATCATGCTTGTTTTGTCAAATTTAAAGAAATTTGTCATCTCATGTTAAGGTTTTCATAAATACACATGTATCATGTTTTGAAATCCACATGTACAACTATAAAGGATCAAAGAATAGAAAAAATGTTAGAAAAAAAGGAAATGGAATGTAAGCATTACATTAGAATTTGAATTTTATGTCATATTCTCTTATTTATGTATTTTAAAAAGAAAGCAAGTACCATGCGCATTAATCATGTTAATTAAATGAATCTCCAACTTTTTTGTCTGTCCAACAGGATGAACCAGTAACTGAACCTCAGCATTTTGCAGAGGTATGTATCAATCTGCTAAAAGTTCTCTGTTATTTGTTGCCACTCTGTGTAATCTTTTTGATGTTTTAAAACCATCCCCATCTATATTTATAAATTTCAAAATTTACTACTTTTCTTTTTTGACATGAAATTATATCTCAAACTTATATATATAAGCATGCATTAAAATTTATTAACAATTCTTCTCTTCGAAAAATGAGCATTTTTTTTAGCAGAAGCTGGACATGAAAAATAGAATTTAAGCATATTTAGAATGCCCCGGTACCACAGGTGAAAAGTTTGTTGAAGATAAAAATTTCATACAGAAAACAAAGAAACTTGCTATTGGAGCCAACTTTCCTAGTAGTAGTCTTACATCCTTCATTTTCCTAATATATAGGCAGCTAAAAAAGCTGGAATGAGTGAGGATGATATATCCTCAGCTCTAAAGAGAATGAGTGAACCAGATGTAAAGAACAGACTAACTCAGTACACAAAACAGGCATTAGATGATGGGGTAAGAGAAAATTAAAGGGCTGTAACTCAATCTGCTTAAATCTACTTGGAAATGAATTTTATGAATCTGGAAGAAATTTAAAGGTGATAAAAGTGATTTTAAAGTAAATTTATTTAATAAAAGAGTTAGTTAACATATTTTAGAGGGTTTTGTTTTGCTTTTTTATTAATTCAAGTAGATGTACATGCAAGTATAAGGCTGACATATAGAAGATTTTTTCCCTCCGAATGAATACATGCAGTTAATTGATGAAAGCAATTTGAGTGAACTAACATATACATGTATTTACCAAAAAATAATAATAACAAAACCAAATTACCTATAAAGGATATTATTCAAAATTTATTTTTCTAGGCCTTTGGAAGCCCATGGATTATTGCACACATTAATGGGAAAAAGGAATCCGTCTTTGGGTCAGATAGATTTCCAATATTAGCCATGTTATTAGGCAAGTATGGGATATGAAATTTATGAAATTCATGTCGGACAGCTAGTGTTTATTTGTTTTCGTTTATTTAATTGATTCTTATTCCAGGATTCCCAAGGTCAACTGTAGTTAAAACCATCTTATCGTGGCATGTAAAATATGAATGTATCAAAATATCAAAAACCAGGAAAATGCCAGATATTTAGAACTAATTGCTCTACTGCTGTCTATCGGTTTGTTGGTCTACCAACTGTTCCATTCATTTTCTTCACAGAAGCTACAAAAACTAAAATAAAGATTTGGTGTACAGATTTGTCATAAGATTATCTAGTCTAGGTTCTGTTTTGGGTATGATCAAGCAATTTTTGACAGAGTTGTGTACCTTGGACTTCCAAGATATTTTCCATTGGAAAAATTCCAATAACATGGATTTGCAGTTCTCTTTCCTTTCATTTTCTTTGCAGAGATTTCACATACTGAAATGAAATTTATGATATATAGATTTATAAGAATATCTAGGTCCTGTTCTGTTTCAGATACAATCCAGCAATTTTGACAGAGTTACATGTTAAGTAAATTTCTGTAATTTCTCATCCAATAAATATCTTAAAACTAGAAATCAATCTATGTATTTTGAATTAAAAAAACCTACCTACCTACCCACTTGTAACATTATAGATTGACAGCTGCAAACAGAGATTTTTTTTAATGCACAATTGGTAAGATGCTACAACCCTTGCAACTTGGTGCAAGGGGATAGTAAAGATAAACATATTTATTCAATTTTGTTTCTAATAATTTCAGAGGAAGAATGGCATGGACCCTTAAAAGAATTATCGAAGTTGTGAATATGAACTTTTCAAATATGGAAACAAGAAGGATCTAATTCACTGAAATATTTTTTCTTGCCAAGAAGTCTGTATTTTTGTATAACTTCATAATTTTGTGATTTGAGGGCAGCATAAAAGAAATCATTGTATTTGTTTGATACAGAGTACTTGGAGTGAATGAAGAAAACTAATATTTTCATATGTAAATATGTCAAATATATTTAGTAGGATATTATACTTGTACAAGTGTCTGTGATATGTATTATGTCCAATTGAATAAAACAATTAGTATTTTAAGTCTTGCAAGCTGTACATTGTATACTATAAAATTACTCCTACAAGTATAAAGAGCCTCGGTTAACGTCTCGCCATGAACCTCTAGCATGCTGGAGTGACTGTAAAATCACATATTTTTGTGGGGTCAAATTTTCGAGGTTCGAGGGGGAAAAAAATTGGTTTATGGAGATTTGAATTAGTGGTTGGAAAATGTTTAGTAGTAAAACATATGAAATTTTACATTTCGTGGTGGTCATAAATTCTAGGGTCTCTCCATACCTCAAAAACAACGGAAATTAAACCCCACGAAAATTAGTGATTTCACAGTCTTCAACTGAATCATAGCTTTTCAAACTTTTTGAGTGGTGTTGTTTGTTTTGTCAATTATATTATCATGTTCAGTCTCATTTATGGAAAGCCTCATCTTCGCTAGCAAAGGGAGACGATCCAATTCACTCCTCTCCTCCAGAGGAAAGAGGAGTAGATCATCACCCTTGGCTAGCGGAGATGGAGGAAGTCTTGATAGAATAGCAATTTCAATTGAAAGCAGTGAAACCTGCTGATATTTATTTATCTTTAAGAACTAAAGAATGCTTTGGGCTAGAATGTTAAAGCAGTAAGACACTGAAAGAGAGGTTTATTATAGTTGAGCAGAAACAATTTTTTGGAAACGGTAAAGCTTATAGTTGATAAGCCATGAACAAAGACATGTACTTTGTAATCATCTTAATTGGGGGAGGGGGTGTCTTTGTTTGTGGACAACCCAAGTTGTACTAGTATGTAGGTATATAATCATGTTTCTTGGCTAACTTGTGTATGCAGAAGATTCAATGAACCAATAGAATGACACAATTACCAGGTATTGTTCGTGACTCTGGAGGAAGATGAGTATAAGGGAGATCAATGGAAATGACTAATATTGATCTCCCACAAACAATAATGATGAGTACATATATCTGTCTTTGGCAACTGAGCAAAGGCATTTGGCGTTACTTTTCTTAAATTAAAAAAGATCATAGTTTACCTATTAGGCTGTTTAAAATTAAAACTACGTTTAACGTCACCCGCGCGCGTAGGTTTATGAGAAATTCGTCTTTGAAAAAAACAAACAAATCGGAATTCCGTATGTCTGTTCCGGTTTGGTTCTACAATTAGCGTCTGAATTCTGCTTCCCGTAGTGACAGAAAATGTGCTTTGATACAGGCAGTTGGTGTCTTATTAAAGAAAACTAGTGAAATAAAGAGTTTGGGACCATAAATGTAAGTAAAAAATAGATGATTTTATGATTGAAGTTAATGACAAAGTCTGGTTTGTTGATTTTTTTGTCAGTCTTCGAATCACATGTTCAAACTGACAGTGACAGACTCTCAGTTCGTGATTCTATTGGCTGAACTTTTCATTGTATTTTGGAGTGAATCGAAAAAACTTTTTTACCGAGTGGAAAGTGTGTCAAAAAAACAAGATCTATATTCAGTGAAAAGCCGGTAACTGGAAATTCCAGAAGCCCCCCGTTTTTTGGAGAATACCTATACAGAAGGGTAGAAGCCCCAATAAAGTGGTAGAAGCCCCATAAAATTGAATGAAATAGGGTACATAAAACCCTAAGGTGATGCTTAAATGAATGATATTGATAACCGTAAATTTTTATAGCCAATTTTACCTCAGAGTCGACAGAAATCGGGCGCCATTTCTTCTTGTTTTCATATACCGTAAACCACGCCCGATCTAAAATCGCGATCGCTGAAGTCGTTTAGAGTAATCCGTGAAAATCATTACCATTATCTTGATCAAAAGTGAATAATATAATATATGATTTTTATTTAGAAAAAAAATATATGAAAGGAAAGTTAAGAATATAAATGAAGCATTAAATATTTACATATTTCCTAAGGCTGTTTAAAGTTAATTCTACGTTTAACGTCACATCTAAAGTTCAAAACCTACGAGGGAGGGAGGAAAAAAATAAACAAACAAAATTTTCAAACAATTGTGAATTTATTCAAACTAACCTATTCACTACATTAAAAACATTACAATTAAGTAATAAAGAGCATTTAATTAATATGACACCTAAGATTAATTTCCATAGCAGATTTTTTTTCTTAGTATGTAAATCAGTTTGAGTCCTATTGTTAGCAAACAACGTATTCTAAGACTGAATGTGCAGGAAAGTGACTTTTAACTAGGCCTCAATTGTCCTTTGGATTAATATTGCCACACGTCCATGGTACCCTGGAGGCAAATGCTTCTTCTTATGGGAATAGTTGATCAATATCTACAATTAAAATTATTGATGACAATATTTAAAACTGTTCATGTTGAAATATCTCAAATTGAATTATGTAGTATTTTTTCTTAGTACTAGATCTACTAGCATTAAGTTTTGAAAGTGTGAATATTAATATCTGGACCATAATGATAGCTGTTAGATTATTTTTAATACCTTGAATTCCACACTAAGGACAGGATTCTTCACGTCTTGGAATACCCCAACTTCTTTCCTTACTCTCCTTCACTTGAAAGGCCCTATCTTCGGTAAGCTTCTCCCTGCTCAAATGGTTAAGAGAAGTATTATCTTTTCCAACAATTGTAGCTATTTGTAGGTACATGAATTATAAAGAAATCAATTACTTTACTCATTACTGTTCCTTTCGATTTTTACAGAAATATTTTTAATACGAAACATATCAAATAAGATTTGAATGATGCTTTTCACGGGTGACTGGAAATTCCAGAAGCCCCTCGTTTTTTGGAGAATACCCATACAGAAGGGTAGAAGCCCCAATAAAGTGGTAGAAGCCCCATAAAATTGAATGAAATGGGGTACATAAAACCCTAAGGTGATGTTTAAATGAATGATATCGATATCCGTAAATTTTTATAGCCAATTTTACCTCAGAGTCGACAAAATCGGGCGCCATTACTGGTTTACTGTACACCACGCCCGATCTAATTTCGAAGCGAGCTGCTGTTTATCATCGTATAGATAAAGTTAAAATTATTCATTTTAATTTTAATATGTTTGTTATGCAAGATATATATCAAATATTATGTAATAAATATTTTTTTTAAATTAAGAACGTTAGCCATTAAGATAATTTAAGATTTTTTTTTATTTTTGAGATTTTAGAGAAATTTAGAATTTAGAGATATGATTATATCCAAAAGCTTCAAAGCAACAATAATAATAAAAAATAGAAATGATAATTAATTAAACTTATATGTTTCAAAGAGAACAAAAAAAATAAATAAATTTCAAAATATGAAAATACTGAATTTATTTTTGAGATTTTAGACAAATTATGAATTTAGAAATATAAAAATATGAAAATCAAAGGTTCAAAGCAATAATAATAATAATTAAATTTTAAAAATGAAAATAATTACTTATATGTTAAAAGAGAACAAAAAGTAAATCAATGTCAAAATATGAAAATACTGAAACCTGGAAAGAAATAGTAAATTAAAAGAATATATCAATTTTCAAATATAAAGATATTTTATTTCAAAGTAACTTTTTTATGTTCTTTTCTTAGAAAAAAAATTAAGATGTTTTAAATATTTTACATCAGTTGTTTACATTATGAATTGTCATTAAAATAAAAGAAATATGAATTTAAAAAAAGTAAAGTAAAAAAAAACACACCACAAAATAAAATATAACGGAATTTTTGATTGAATTTTAACTACGAAAAAATCTCAGTCTGGTTAAGAGAACTGAAAATCTTTTATCATCTCCTAGCATAGGTATTTTATGTAATTTTACATTTCATTGCCAGTTGAATCTGTCGACTAAAAATTTCCATTGCCTCTCTGTTCAAACTAATCCCATCTTCACGCCAAATGTTTTTATTTGAATTCATTAAACCCCTACATCTCCAAAATATCACATTCTGAGAATTCCCATATTTCCTCCGTAGTGTGTTATTTATGTCAAAAACAGTAGAATTGTACTTTCCTGGATCCAGGGTTTCACAAATCATTTGCCTAAACAGACTTCCAATAAATATTTTCTGAACCGAATCATTTCTTAACAGTTTTTCAATAATGTTTTGGATTCTTAACACTATAACCGACAGAGAAGATGAATATATATCTTTTTCTCCCACTTGCAGAAACGCTTTTAAACCAGTCTTAAACCATTAAAACCCAAAAATGTTTTTAAAATTGTATACTTATCATTTTTCCTAGAGTATATAGGGTTAGTATCAGGCAGTATTCCTCCCCCGCCAGACGGGTGCAGACCAGTGAATACTGTTTGGTGTTGTGTTAGATTAGGTTAGTTTAGGAATATATATATTTTTTTTAATGTTGCTAATTAAATTATAAATTCCTTTCTATAAAATTTTTTATAATGTTATTTAATTTTATGTCAATTTCTTTCATTTGGCTGTAATATGTTTATACATGAACAAAAGATTGACTAGGAATAATGATAAAGTATCTTTATTAAAATAAGTCTTTTTAAATTTTTTTTAAAATTTTCTTTTAATCTTTCGGTCATCTTTCGGTCCTTTGACTTTAATATTTTTCTGTTTCAAAATTCAAATCATGGCTCTACAATTAAGGAGGCCTCCACATGGCTAGAGCTGGGAACATAAGGAAACTTTGAATATTTTCCAGGTATTACTAATTTAAAAGGTCTTTATTAATTTATCATTATTATTAATATTAGTATCAAAATTATCAAATTCATATTTTCCTTATTTTCCTTATGTGTGTGCTAACGTCCTTAAAATGAAAATTTGTATTTAAAGCATATTACCATTTCATATCAACATTATTTTAAAAAAAAATTATATTACAAAATCATTTATTTTACAATTTGATAATGAAAGTCAAGAACAATTGAGCAAAGTCAAGGTTCAGTGTATATATACACATGCCCTGCCAGAGGGGGGTTGGTCAGAGTAGCTGAGAACAGGTGTTTGATCAAAAGAAGTTTATTGTCAAGTTGACCAAGTGTCAACAGCTGTGTATATATTAATGTACACACACAGGGGTGCCTCTTTATCCCAGTACATAACAACACAGCTAGCTGATGTGTAAATAATATTCTCTCCATATTCATACCACTTTACAAGTGTTTGCATATGCAATTATGCACATTTTATTCATTTTTATGTAACTTTTTTATTTCCTGGACCTGGATTCTAATAATTTCATTCTAATGGATACATATTGCTTTCTAATATCAATGAGTATAATTTGTTCTATTACATGAACAAAAAAATGATAAAAAAAAACCTCCCCCAAATAAAACAGAACCAAAAAAAAATTACAACAAGTGACTGGAAAATAATAATGAATGCATGAATACTGAATTTCAAATATAAATAAACAATTGGAAAAAAAAAGAAACCAAAACAAATACCTTTGAAATTAAATAAATTTACAACTTAAATCACTTTATTCATTAATTTATTTAACTTAATTTTATATTATAGATGATTGGAATTTTAAAAAAGGAACTTTATTAATTATTAATTGCCTAGTTAAATTCATTTAAAACATCCAGTCAATGAGTATTT